ACCGACCGCTGCCAGGACCGAACCGGCACGGGACGCGGCGCCGTTCTGCGCTGAACGGAAAATCGCTGCTCTGACGGACAGACGGACGGGCGATGAACGCAGATCGGCGCCCGGAGAGCCGCGGACGGACGGACCGCTCGGGATTCCCGAACGAACGCGGAACTCCCGCAGCCGGGAGGACGCGCGGACGGAGCCCGGAGCGATCGCTGCGATCGCGATTAACGAAAAGTGCCGTTAATGAAGGGAGTCGCGGACGCGGAAGGACGGATCGGAGCTCTCGGAATTAGCGGAGGAAGCCGCACACGGATCGGGACAGCGGCAATTAGCGAAAATGAAAGGATCGTTATGCGGGCAGAGGCCGCGGGTGGTGCAAAAAAAACCTACAGGGACGGACACGGACAGAACCGAGACCACCCCGAGCTCCTTTCAGCCACGAACGAATTCTGCTCGGGCGGACACACGGACGGAGCCGTTCCGGACGGCCTCGGCTCGGCGCTGCGGGGCTCGGCGGGACAGCAGGAGGGCTCCGGAGCCGCTCGGAGCCGTGGGCCGAGCACGGCGCACCGAAGCTCTGCCGGGTCGGGGCTCGGAGCTCCGCCGCAGCCGGGAGCGGCGACAGCACGGAACGGAGCGGCGGTACCCGGAGCGCTCGGGACGCGGAGCTCCGAACGGTCGCAGGAGCGGAACCCGAGGGCAGCCCCGGCACCGCACCGCGCTGAGCCCGGCCGCGGGAGGAACCGGAGCGGAGCCAGCGGGCAGCGCCGGGGCTGTGAGGGGCGGTGGGAGGCGGCGGCCGGGGCCGATGTGCGGCGGAGCGGAGCGCCGTGCGGTGCAACGAGCGGGGCCACGGCCGGGAGCGGACCGAGCACGGCACGGCACGGCGATGTAGCGCTCGGCACAGCGCGGCTCGGCAGCGCTCCTCTCAGCGACATAACGCTCGGCCCGGCCCGGATCACAACACGATGCTCGGCTCGGCAATACGAAGCTCGGCCCGGCCCGGCCCGTCTCAGCATTGCGAGGCCCAGCACGGCCTGGCTCCGCTCAGAAATGCAGCGCTCAGCACGGCTTTGCCTGGCGCGGCTCGGCGCAACAAATTAAGGCTGCGCACAGCACAGTTCGGGCCGGCAATGCAAGGCACAGCTCGGCTCAGCGGAAATAATGCTCAGCACGGCTCGGCTCGGCACGGCGATATGAAGCCGGGCCGGGCTCGGCGGTGTAACGCTTGGCAATTGTGATTCGGCTCGGCTCAGCTCGGCGATATAACGCACGCCATAACGGCCCGTTTCGGCAGAGCATTGCTGCGCCGGGCTCGCTGCTGTAACGCTCGGCACGATTCGGCTCGGCTCAGCAGCGCGACGCTCGGCCCGGCCCGGTTTGCTTCACGCTGCCGAGTCGGGCCTGGTCTCGTTCCGCTCCGCTAGGCTCTGCCCGGCGGGGCTCAGCGGGCCGAGCCCGGTTTCGGTCCGGTTTCGGTGCCGGTTCTGCCGCTCTGACGCCGTCTCCCCCTCCCCCCCCGCAGGTCGGGACCCTCTGAGCGCCCTCGCGCAGCGCCCGACGTCGAAGAAGCGGCGTAAATCGCGCACGGCGTTCAGCAACCAGCAGCTCTTCGAGTTGGAGCGCCGCTTCGTGCGCCAGAAATATTTGTCCCCCGCCGACCGCGACCAACTGGCGCAGCGCCTGGCGCTCAGCTCCGCGCAGGTCATCACCTGGTTCCAGAACCGCCGCGCTAAGCTCAAGCGCGACCTGGACGAGATGCGCGCCGACGTGGCCTCCCTGCAGGCGCTGCGGCTGCGGGAACCCCCCCCGGCCCCCCCCGGCCCCGCCGAGCTGTCCGAGGAGGAGATTGACGTGGGGGCCTGAAGGGGAGGGGGGCCGGGGGGGGATCGGTGCGGTGCTCCCGTCCTCTTTGTTTCCGCTTTATTTCTGTTTTCTTGTAATTTTATTTCCCCCCCCGCACCTCCACCCTCCTCCCCCCCCCCGCGTCCGTCCGTCCGTCGGCCGCCGCCGGGCCCCGGTCCGCCCCGTGTATATATGTGGAATAAAGGGGACATCTCCTAAACGGGGAGCGGGGCGCGGCGGGGGGACGAGGGGACACAGGGATGGGGATGGGGGGACACGGGAACAGGAGAGGGTGACAAAGGGACACGGGTACGGACACCGGGACACACAGACATGGGGACACACGGAGAGGGGGAACACGAAGAGGGGGGAACGGGGACACAGGGACACGGGGACAGACAGACACGGGAGCACAAAGACATGGGGACACACGGACGTGGGATGCGCAGAGACACGAGAGCACGGGGACACGCAGACGCGGGGACAGACGGATGTGGGGACACAGATGGGGATGGGGGGAACACAGGAACACGGGGACAGAAGGAGGGGGTGACAGAGGGACACGGGGGCACACGGACGTACGAACACACGGACAGACAGACACGGGGACGTGGGACCACGGGGACGCACGGACACGTGGACGCGGCGACACGCGGGCATATGAACACACGGACAGACAGACACGGCTCCACGCGTCTGTCGGCGTCCGTCTGTCCGTCCCCTCACGCGGGACTCCGCGCACCCCGACAGCCGCCCGTGACGTCATGCTGCGGTGACGTCACACCTCTCGGTCCCCGCCCCGCTCCCTCCCCTTTCCCCCCCGCCTCTCCGGGGGGTGACCCGCAGCTGCCGCCCCCTCAGCGCTCCCCGGGGCCGTCTGTCACCGCCCGCCGGTGCCCCCCCGCAGCCACCCGAACCCGCCCGATCCAATTACAGCGCCGCCAACTTCCGCGCGGGGCCGCTCCGCCGTCATCGCTCCGTTCTTAATTGCATTGTCCCTCCCTTCCCCCAGCGCTGCGGCAGAGGGGGAGGGGGGGAAAAAAATGAGATTTAGCCCTGAAAGTGCCTTTGAGCGTTTCCCCGCGGGGAATCGCGTTTAATTTGACAGGTAGGAGCGCGCGAGGGGGGCTGCGGGGGGCGCGGGGGCTGCGGCTGCGATCCTGCAGCGCCGGGAAGGAATCCGGCCCCGGGGTGGGGGGGGTGGGCCGGGGCTCCCCGAGTGCCGATACGGGGCCGGATCCTCTGCCCCCCCCCCGGGGGGGGCGCGGGGGGGGGGGGGTCGTACACGCAGTTGCGGGTTTGCAGGCAGCTCACAGGAGCCGCTCCCCGAGCCGCGGTTCCCGTTGCCGTGATCCCGCAGGGCGGCGCGGAGCCCCCGGGGCGCCCCGGCCA